AAAAAAAATCTATAGTCAACAACAAGTTGTCAAGCCTATATGCAGTACTTTTGGTTGATATTCGCTGGTTAGCGCTAGCTAGTCTTGCTAAACTAGCTAACTAGCTAACCAACAAACTAACTCACCGGCTACATAATCAGCCAAACAATTTGCTCATCCGTTCCTCTCTTCCGCACTTATCGTTAAGTCAACTGATCTGCGTGCGAAAAGATTTCATATTTATTTCTATGACTTTACGGGTGAAAAAACAAAGCAGGACAAAAAAAAGTCTGAGAATAAGGCTAAATGATGAACAGCTTTCTAAACTATTGATCTTATTCTCTCTAAAATGTTGTTTATAGTTAGTTTTTATTCTTCACCAAATAATCCATTTTTCTTGACCACTGTTGGACTTACATAAATTTGTGTCAAAGATCACTGCTTATTGCTACCGTGGTAAATACTTGGTAGTTGTATACTTAGTTCTTGATAACAGGCTTACTCTGCTGTTTCGTATGTTTCAGTCACATCATAAAACTGGAAAAAAAAGAAAACAATAGAAAGCCGATTGCTGCAACAGACTGATACAACAGCATCAAACAATACGACGATATACAACACCGCTCAGGAAGCTCATAATTTCATCTTCACTGACGTCCTTTTTTTGTTGCTTAAATTTATCGAACAGTTTGTTGCTACCTGCAATTGAGTAACATCCAACTGCGTAATAATTCTTTCCTTCAACTTTTTTTTCTATCAGTTGAAAAAAAAAAAGAGAAGATGAGCAGGAAAAAAAAAACGAAAATGATGAACTATTTTGCGTAAAAGTGATGCTTCAGTGCCCTGAAAAACTGGCAAAACTAACCGCAGAGATCGTTGTCTTCTGTGATAGCAATTGTTGACAGATTAGACAACTTTTTAACAGCAACAAAAGTGGCAGTCGTTTATTGTTGAGCTGCAATTTAGGTTACTGCAAAAACCTCAATTCGTTGTCAGCAATCCAGCGTCTGTTGATTGCATTTAGCCTCGTACTTGTTGGTTAGCCTCTAATATTTTTTTTTTTACTAAATTGAAAATTACTCATGCAAAAAAAAAAAAATCAAAACAACAAAGAAAATGCATAAGGTTATTTGATTAACTTTTCTTTTCGATTAATATAACTATTAATACTATTGTTCAATTATAGTTGGTCTTCATCCTATATCTTTTACTTGCAACTTTTCATCACTTTTTTAAAGAAAAAAAACTGTTGTTTCTTCAGTTTTTTTTTACTTTTTCACTTTCGAACAACTTTTTATTTTTGCTAGTTTTTTTCTTTTTTTGATTACACTAAACTATAATAAACCTAATAGCTTAACAGTCCAGTGCAAAAATATTCATCATATAACTGCTTCAAACTGTTTCCATTTCAATAATACGTTATTAACAAACAAACAAAAAAAAAAAAAAAAAAAGAAAAACAAATTCTTCACTAC